GGGCGGCAGCGAGTCGGCCGTCCCCATGCGCTCCGGCGAGGGGCTGCCCAGGATGGTCAGGAGGCTGCCCTTGGACAGCTGCGGGGACTCGGCCAGTCGGGGGCTGGGCCCGTGGCTCATGGTGCGGCCGCGCGGGCGGGCCCTGCGTCCCAACTCCGGCCGGACTCAGGGGCGGCACGGGGGACGCCCGGCGGAGGCGATACGACTGTGCATGATGGCCACTGCTCCCCACCGCTCTCCTGGCCACTGGGTGGGGGACGCTTCTTCCTTGGACCTGTGGGAGAACACAACCGTTATTGGGTCGTGGCCACCACCTGTCCATACCCATAAGCTCAGACATGGGAAGGGCAAAACCGGCAGCGGGAACCGCATGAGCAAAGGCAGGAGGGGGGAAACGGTCTGCTTCAGGAAAGTCCCAGTGAGGCTGTAGTGGTGAGCGAGGGCCTGTAACCGCTTCCTCACTGGCCTCCAGACACCACCCTATGGTCCCTTCACCCTGCAGCCGAGGCAGCTTATCTGAAACCTTGATCTGCTCTCCCTGACCTTCAAGTCCAATCTCACAAGGTGAATGGCTGGTACTACTTCCCCATCTCCACCCCAAATGCAGCATGCGTGCTTGCTGAAGGAGTCCCCTCCCTGCCTCTTGCTGCGCTGGGCTAACTCTCATCGGTAAGATTTATCTGAGATATCATCTCCTCCTAGAAGTCCTCCCGGACCACCTCAGGCCAGGAGGCCAGCCCCATCTGTGTCTCCACCATTAGTCTAACCAACCTCACCTACCATTGATCTGTATCCCTGTCTGCTCCCCATCCTGTGAGTTTGCTGAGGGCAGGGGCTGGCTCTCGGCCACTGTTTTAGTCCCAGCATATGATGACAATGGCAATGACATTTGTGGAGGGCTGACTACAGGCCGGGTACCATGCCTAGGGTCTCATTTATTCCTCTCAATAGACTCCAGGGAAATGACTGCCATTTACCTAAGGGGAAAGGGAGGCTCAACTCAAGGTGGGTTAAAGCCTCGGATCTGATCGCAGATGCTGTGTCTGGGAGCCCAAATGCAAACACTGGTGAGGGTTTGGTGAATGCAACACGTGTTCTGGTGGTATGATGGAAATAAACCCGTATGCAGTGTGGGGGTGTGGCGTGGTGAGGGATCGGTCCCACTGCTGGACTCTGCTATTTGTGGGCCCCATCACTTTAAAAGAAGCGAGATGTGGGCCCCTGGGTGGCTTGGTCGGTTAAGCATCTAACTCTTAATTTTATCTCAGGTCATGCTCTCAGGGTTTGTGGGTTCCAGTCCTGCAGCTGGGCTCCACACTGACAGTGTGGAGTCACCTTGAGATTCTCTCTCTCATGTCTCTCTGTCCCTCCCAACCCCCTCTTTCTTAAAATAAATAAACTTAAAAGAAAAGTGAGACGCATGCCCTCTCTCTGTCCCCAGCCTGTCCCCCTCTCCCTCCATTGTGGCCTTGTGTTGACCGCCAGCAGCAGCCTCTCTTGGGACATCATGCTCTTCCTTCCCCATTCAGCAGAGTGTGTCCCACAAATCCTCACCCAAGGCCCTGCCCCGATAGCCATCCCTTCCTTTCCAGTGCGCTTCTGGCGGGACTCAGCCCCACAACAAAGTGCCTCAACACCAGCTAATCCCAACACTGCCTGGCCAGCCCTCTCTGTCCCCTCTTCATCCTCCTCCCACCTCTAACCCCCACTCTCAGCAGGTGATCTAATGTCATAGTTGCAGTGAAAAGGGAAGCCATCAGATTGGCACTCCCTCCAGGTCCTGTTCCAAGGCCCATGGCCCCCTTCTCTCTGGCCCTAAGAGGATGGAAGGGCTGTCCCTCTTTGGGTCAAAGGTCCCCTCTCCGGTTTCTCCCATCTCTGCCAATGATGCCCTCTTTAGGGGGCCTCACCCCTGCTGGAGTCTCTCCTGGCACGATCCTCCCCCCTTCTCCCCTCCTCTCTCTCCTCCCTGTCAAGGCCCGTCCACCCTTTCAGTCTCTTTGCCCTCTCTCATCAGGCCATGCCGGGCTGGTTTCCGGCCACACTGCCCTACCTACCTACTAGGCAAGTCTCAGCCCTCGCCGCTGCACCCTCTCTAGTGTGGGCACCGTCAGCCTCTCCTGCTTTCCTGCGTCACCCTCATCCAGGACGCCGTGCCCTCCAGGTCTTCCTCCTACCCTCCAACTGCTTCCTGCCAGCCTTCCCGGGACAACCTGGGTGCATCTGTTGAGTGGCGGCATCATCCAGTCCTGGGGCTCCTTGTCTCTCACCACCCGGCCTGAGCCACCCCACCATGTCGTCACCAGCCCTGAATCTCTCTCTCTAGCCCAGGTGCCCCACCGGAACCTCACACGCCTCTACCAGGATGTTCCTCAGATAACTCAGACTCAGCCTGGCTGAACTGGAACTCACCTTCTCCATTCCCTCCACAACCAGCTCTTCCTTCTGGATGCCCGCTCTGGGAGAAGAGCACTTCCTCACTCCTTCATGCTGTGGAGTACATTGTGGAATCTTGCTTTCTCCCCACGCCCCTCATCGCGTCACCTCCAACTCCTGTCGGTCTGTCTGCCACATGTCACAAGGATCTATCCACCTTCTTCCTACTCTGTCACTAACCTGTCAAGGCCACCACCATCATTTCCCACCTGGGTGAGCCCAGCCACTGCCTCTCTGCTTTCCCCCTGGAACCACCTTTGCCTTCTTCAAATCCATTCTTTTTTTTTTTTTCTTTTTTTTAAATGTTTCTTTATTTTTGAGAAAGAGACAGAGTGTGAGTCTGTGGGAGAAGCAGGGTGGGAGGAGTGGAAGAAGCAGAGAGAGAGGGAGACACAGAATCGGAAGCAGGCTCCAGGCCCCGAGCTGTCAGCACAGAGCCCGACGCGGGGCTCGAACTCATGGACCGCGAGATCATGACCTGAGCCGGTTGGACACTCAACCGACTGAGCCACCCACGTGCCACTCTTCAAATCCATTCTGAACAGTGGCAGCCAGAGTGAGTTTTAATTTAATTGTTTTTAAAGTTTTTTTATTTTGGGGGAGGGGTAGGGGACAGAGGATCCGAAGCAGGCTCTGCGCTGACAGCAGAGAACATGACACAGGGCTTAAACTCACAGGCGGTGAGATCATGACCTAAGCTGAAGTTGGACACTTAACCGCCTGAGCCACCCAGGTGCCCCCAGAGTGAGTTTTTAAAAATGCAAACCTGGGGG